GCAAACACACAACTGGACCGCAGTGCTGGTCTGTCACCTTCTGGAGTGTACAGACGTTTGAGTGCAAACCGTTTGATGAATCAAAGAGTGGAAGTGTATAATGGTAGTTATGGAAAGTTGGTTTCCTTAGACGTCTTCATAGGTAAATAGTAAATGACTGCACTTACAGCACCTTTCTATCTGATCAAGACACTCGAAGCTTTTTACACAACAATCTGTGCCTCATTTACAATTCATACAGCACTCTACTAGATCTTTACAAATATCAGAGCTTTATAACATTCATACACTGATGGGACACACGTCGAAGGCAATGAGGGGTTCATTCTCTTGCCCAGGGACACTTAGGCATGTGAATGTTGGTGGAATCAAACCCCCAACTCTTGTATTGGAGGACGACTGCTCTAACCAGTTAGCCACAGCCGCTCAGGTTCCACAGGTTCCAGTTCATTTTGAGAACTGAGTCTTGGATCCTTTTTACACATCAGCAACAGAGGCCAAGACTGCGCTCTGCTTAAAGAAACTCAAGACTCCAACATTGTCTGTAAGCAAAATATCTCGCAAACCAATAGATTAATTTTAATGAAGCTCTCAAACTAACCACTGGATGAACATCTTCAGCTGATCAACTTAACTGTCAACCCTAGTTCATAGAGCCACCACAGGCAAGCCACCTTGGCAAACAAAACTGGCTCGGAGGCTAATTCTGGCATGGTAGTAGCTGAGAGTCATTCCTGACACAGATTGCATGTGCTAAAATATTAGACAAGAACTACTGGAGCCCCAAAGAGTCAGAATTAGAGCTTTAGGCGTATAACCATTTATAAGTATGCCCTAATGTAGTGGTTCTCAACCACGGTCCTTGAGGAACACCATCCTGCTTGTTTTAGTTGTTTCTCTGCTTTCACACACCTGATTTGAATATATATTTTTTTCATTCAACCTTTATTTAGACAGGTTAATCCCATTGAGCCTTGGGGACTCATTTACAAGAGAGACCTGATTTCTTTAACAAAGAGTGACGACAACAATGACAATAGACGAGCATAAGAGGCATACAGATTTTTTTTTTTGTACTAATTAAAATAAAATGGCAACAAAAAAAACAGTCAAAAGGAAAAAGTAGCAAAAAACAACAACAAAAAAAAAAAACAGCTAGATTGTAAGGCGGTGTAGAAAACTAAAAACAGGAACATGTCTGCATTGGTTTTTGCCAGGAACTTAACAGATGTTTAAAGTCACTTAGAGAGGTCATGGTTGAGAGCTTTAGATCTTATTGCAAGATATTCCAGGAAACCGGAGCGGAGTAGGAGAAGGCCCTTTTGTCTAGTTCAGACCTCACTGAGGGAACACTGCAGGTAATGTCCTGAGAGCGCACGCTGTAGCTGCACTCACGCAGAGACATGTAGAAGTATGAAGGCAACAGACCAAGAAGTGATTTAAAGATGAAAATATACCAGTGAGTCTGCGTGAAGTTAATTATGACCAGTTAACCAGTGAATACAGGGTGCAAACCAGTGAATACAGGGTGCAGTGATGGGTACCATAGTTACAGCCAGTTATGAATCTTAGTGCACCATGATAGACAGCATCCAACATCTGAAGGGTTCTTGTAGGAGCGTTCATGTAAATAATGTCACCATGGTCAATGGAGGGAAGGAAGGTCACAGATACAAGGCGTTTTCTAGCATTCAGGGTTAGACAGGATCTGTTTCTGAAAAAGAAACCCAGTTTAACTTTCAGTTTCTTTACTGGGTTTTCCACGTGAAGCTTAAAAGAGAGCGAGTCGACCAAGATACCCAAATATTTATAGGAATCGACAAATTCAATAGGGACACTATTTGAGGATAAAATCATAGGAAGAACTAATGGGACCGACTTCCTGTTTGAAAAAAAACATCCCTTTGGTTTTGTCGGCATTTAGGACAAGTTTGAGACGGAACAAATCTGACTGGATGATGTCTAAGGCGGATTGCAACGAATGAATGGGTGATTAACGGCTTCTGCAGAATTTAATGAAGTAATTAAATCACTAAATCAGGTGTGTTGGAAACAACCAAAACATGCAGGATAGTGTTCCTTAAGGAACAGTGTTGGTAACCAATGGGCCTAACACATACAAAAGTGGGATCTGACCCCAAATAAAGTCACATAATTATTTTGTCCTCATCGCTCTACAGGAGAAACACCTGTTGATGGAATTCATATTAATTAATGGCTACCTGCATTTTTTTGGAGGGGATTTAAGCTGCATTTATGTGCTCAATAGAAATTAGCATTGGCCACGGGGTAATTTTTTCCTCTTTGTTGGCCTCCAGCTGGTAGCCTGAGGCTGTTTGAGAATGAAACGCTGAGGCCGTTGGAGCTAAACTACGTGTAGACCCTGGCCAAAACTAGTTCAGCTTCCTCAGCAGTGTGCTCAAAATGACTCGTACAAAAATGCAGAAAGGTTGCAAGATGCTTTTATTCCTTTGACTCTCCTCGGCTGACGTGAGTGTTCCTTGAAATTAAAGCCAGGGACCATTTGGAGACTTGTTAAGACCCCCCCTCCTTTCTTTGACACACTCAGGCAGACAACCCTCACACATGCACACACATCTTACTTGTCAGGTTGTGATAAATATGCAAAGCGAAGTGGACAATAGGCCCGAGCAGCTGATGCTGTCAGTCTGCACGCTGGAAAAAACAAAGGCTCTCCTCTTGTCTGAATCTGTGTGGGTTCAGTTCAGAACCGACGAGTGAAAAAAACAGAAAACTGGAAAAAATTATCATTTTCTGCAAAACATGCAGCGTGAACTCCGAGTGCTGACTGAGTTTGCTGAAAATTTGTTTAAGACGCTAAAACTGAACTGTAAAAGTTCAAACAAGCAGAACAGAAGCTAAAAGCTAAAAGGAGCAAACTTGTATCCGAGTAAAATGAGCAGAACTAGCTACAAGCTAAAGCCTGTGAAAGTTGCAACCTAAAACCAACAAGACATCTAAAATCTTAAATCGGCTAAAGAGTAGCTAAAATTCAAGCACAAATATTTACTTAAATTAAGCTAAACAGTAGCTTCTACCTAAAATTTGCAAAACGGAGAGCTGAGAAATAAAATGAGCTTAACATTAGCTTAACCAGACAAACTTACTAAAACTTACAATCAGAAACATCGTAGACAAATAAAATTTGTACAATAGCTAAAAGCTAAAAGAAGTGCAACAGTAGTTAAAAACTATCAAGCTTGTAATTGAACTCTAAAATTATCTAAACCATAGATCAACTTAAAAATGCAACAACAGCTAAACACTAAACAAAAAACGGCAGCTAAAAGCCAAAAGTAGGAAAAAAATCTAGTTAAAGGCTTAAATTTGCAATACAGTGGCTAGAAACTAAAATTAACAATGATATGAACCTAAAATGAGCAAAACAGTAGCTAAAACATAAGATAAGCACAAAGATTTTCTTAATAAGCAAAACTGTAGTTTCAACCGAAAATTTGCTAAACCACAGCTAAGAGATGAAATGAGCTCCACATTAGCTAAAATCGCAAAATTAAACAAAAATTAAAATCAACAACATTGTAGACAAATTAATACAACAGTAGCTAAAAGAAGCACAACAGTAGTTGCTGAACTCTAAAGTAGCTCAACTCAAAAGTAGTGCAACATCAGCTGAAAGTTAAACAGAACAGCAGTTGAAATTAGAACAGCAGCAGCTAAATGCTGAAAGTAGAAAAAAATATCTAGCTAAAAGCTTAAATACACTAGCTAAAATCTAAAATTGAAAAAGCTAAGTAAGATCTAGCAAAATATTAGTTAAACCTTAAGATAAGCTGAAATAGCTACCTAAAAAAAGCAAAACGGTAGCTTCAATATAAAATGTTGCTAAACCGTAGCTAAGAAATAAAACGAGCTCATCGTTAGCAAAAGAAACAAAACTGTAACAAGAAATTTAAATCAGCAACATTTAACAAATAAAACAAACAAAATAAATAACATTTGCTCAACAGTAGCTAAAAGCTAAAAGAAGAAACTATCCATCTCGTTACTGAACTCTAAAATTAGCTAAAATGTAGCTCAACAAAAAAGTAGTGCAACAGCAGCTACAAGTTGAACAGCAGCTTAAAGCTGTTCATTCAGCCTTTATTTAGACGGGTAAATCCCAGTGAGCCTCCAGGACTCATTTACAAGAGAGACCTGATTTCAACAAAGAATGACGACAACGACGGACAACAGCTAAAAAAGTTTAAAAAAAAAACAGCAGCTAAAATTGGAACAGCAGCAGCTAAAAGTAAAAAATAGAACAGCAACTAAAAGTTGAACAGCAGCTAAAAGCTAAATAAATAAAACGCCAGCTAAAATTAGAAGAGCAGCACCTAAAAGTAAAAAAACAAACATATATATATATAGAACAAAAGCTAAAAGTTGAACAGCAGCCAGAAGATACAAAACCTAGAACAGCAGCTAAAATTAGAACGGTAGCAGCTAAAAGCCAAAAGTAGAAAAAAAAACCCTAAATGCTTATATTGGCAATATAATGGCTAAAATCTAAAATTAGCAAAGCTTAGTAAACTCTAGCAATGGCAAAACAGTAGCTAAAACAATTAATCAAAAGGATTTCAAAGCTAAAATTAATATTTTAAATACTCGTTTTTCATGGATCCCATTCCAAATCGTATAAACATTACAAATGCCAAAGTCACAGCATCGGTCTCCGGCATAATCTGAACATTTTGCTAAATGGTTAAAACAGCTAAAGGTTTGGTGAAGTAAAATAACTTGTTTCTAAAGTACCAATTCACAGCTCAAGGCATTTGTGGAATAAAAGCATTCACATGCCTCTTAGTAAATGTATTTATTTATTTTTAATCAAAGGAAGACAGCAGAGCATGTCAAGTCTTCACTTCGTCACCATCTCATGAAGACGGGAATAAAAAGCGTTAATGTTGAGTCAGCGTCCAAACGAGACGGAGCGACAGAAGAAACGAAGCGGAGGATGATGGGTGAGGTTCGTTACTGACCTTCTGGCTCGTTTTTGATCAGCTCCTCCATCTTGCGTTGCTTCAATGTGTCCACAACATCCGCCAGGCTGCCTTTGCGTCTCTCGGGGGTCCCGAGGGTACCCGTGGCCGAGCCGCCGTCGCTGCAGGGTCGCCCCCCGCCTCCGCCCTCCTCTTTGCCCGGTGAGGTAGCATTGTGCTGTGGGTAAGGACTTGGTGAACTCCCCTTGGTGCCGTCGTGATCCTGAAAGGAGAAGACAAACGGAAATAAAAAGTTTAAACTTGAAGAAATAAAAAAAGCAACTTCAGACGAAAAAATAAAAGTAAAAATGGAGATTAGGGAGGAGCTGGCACAAACCTGCTCATTATCTCCATCCTTCTTTCCAATTCTTACTATCTTTATTCCCCCTGTCCCCTATTCTTATATCTCAATGCAACAACTTTCATCCGTGGCCAGTTATCTCAAGTCGGGGCATGCGTCTTCAGTCTCTCGCGCATCCTCTGGAATCTGCATTTGACTGACTTGGAGGTACTTGACAGAACGAGCACATGAAACAACAGTAAGACGCTCTGCGCGCTCACAAGTGTCACGCTAACTCTTCATCACAAAGCTTTTCGTGGCTCCCTTTGAGAAACGTCCAACGCTGTAGTGATCGACGCCCAACTTTCAGAGCCGACAAACTTTTGCCTCGAGATCCGCGATGGTTTATGCTGAGGGTGCAACTCAGGCGAAACACAGAAATCAGTAGAAATAACGCATTCCTTTTAAAAGAAGAAAGCTCTGGAGCGGTGACAGTTGATTCCATAAAGACAACTTTTAAGGCACCAACATCACTGGCTAATGTAAAGCTTTTCTGTTTTTACGATGACTAATCTTCTCGTGTCAAAAGTTTAGTTTTTAACATATTCATTTAAACTTTGGGAGAAAGTGATGGTAAGCATATCTGCATAAAAATAATTATTTGAAAGCCGGCAGACACCCAGGGGATCAGATTCATCAATAAATTGTTTTGCAGGCACAAATAAGGACGCGGTGCATCGATTAAGTCAAGTCCTTGCAAAATGGAATTTGCTTATAAAATGTGATTGTAACCAAATTTATTTATTTTTAGAGTTATACAAGAAAACCCAACCACTTTTTTATAAATCGCCAGGGCTGAAGTTGCTCAATTCTAAACATTAGAACTGTATGTGACGTGCATTTTATTGTGAAATATTTACTATCTCATGAAAGCTTGTAGTAAATAAGTCTACGGGAAAGGAGCAAAGGACGAGGAGCAATCTGCTGCATGGCTGCATTCACAAAAACAGGGCGAGCATGGCAGGAACGTTGTAATTCATCCTCAAAGTTTACAGTAAACCCTATTTGAATACCGTTCATGCACACTGGCTGTTTTCAGAACAAAAAGAAGACTGCAAACTGATTAACTTGGCAGTGACAATGAACCTGAAAGCAGCAGGTGAAGGCTACTGTAAGTACAGTTTAGCCTGTTAATCTTTGGCCCAGTAAAACCCGTGTTTGTTTTTTGCAGCTAGCATTACAGACCTAACACTGGCTCAGGCCAATTAACAGTGGCATGGACAGGGAGGATGCCATCACCTTAAAAACACGTTCTAGACGCCGATACGCCGGAGACTGCGTGGGTAATATAAACTGAACTCAAAAACATAAATGTTGTTGTGACAAATGAACGCTCACGTGGGTATGTTAAGGCGTGCTGTTTAATTACAGCAAGAAATGAGTCAGTAAGTCATTCATGCAGCCAGTCTGTCAGCTCAGCTCTTTGCGAGCACGAGGGTCAATGGTCCACAGGGTTAATCTTTGGCTAATCTCGCTGCAGTATAGGCACACGCCACCTGAGACAGTGGAACACATACACTGGAAAGTTCCTCTCTTTGTCCGTGTGTCAGAAGGACTTATGTGCATTCCAGGTATATTAAATGTATTGTGTTAAGGCAGATATGTAATCATTAACTCCCAGAGAGCGCACAGTCCATGAAGAGGTAATCAGGACAGCAAGAAACTCTGGGGTTTATTTTCTTTTAAGAGTAGAGGACAACAAAGGACAAATAATATGAAGGAATGCATGTCACCCGCTGCTTTTTAAACTGAAATCTAATTATTTTGGGAACGGGCATACTTAAACCACCTTGCAGATGTTCTGCATGATCTCATGCCATATCATGAAGCCTGTTGGTGCTCGGAGTACATGTTGACTTTCAGCTACTAGCTCACAAAACTTTAGCTCGTTATTCTTAAAATCCACTGAGTTTGAGCCATTTTTTTTGTGTTTGCTAAGGTTAGTGAGCTGGGGCAGATGTCTTGAAATAGGGTCGACCCTAGTGCTTAATTTGAGCCGGATCCTGGTGGAACAGGATCCGGGAACTCTGATTTTGACAGGGTGCGTTCCGGTAACTGTTTACTTGGATTCGGTAACTCTCAGGTTTATTACTAATAAAGTTATGAAGAAATATGACTGCCTTGAACAAATAAACTCGTATTGACTATGCAAGCTGAAAAAAATTACATAAACACTCATTTTAAACACAACAGCCACTTACGAGCTTCGTAATATCACATATGAGCTGCCCCTTCAAGTGGCATTTCCTCCAGACAGAGGAGGCACCTGGAGGTTTCAGATGTGGAGTCGGACGAGGACAGTGAATTCAGCGGAGAAGAATCGGGTGCAGAACTGTCGAGTGGGAGGGGGTAGGACGCTTGACAGAAGCGGAGTGTTTACAAATCTAGATAAACGTAGATGTTTAACGATAGGGGTGCAACAATACATCAATTTAAATCGATACGTCGATTGATTCAATTGTATCGTGGCAAAACTAAAACATGGATTCATATCGTCATCTTTAGAATACGCTTTTATTTTGAAATTCCTGTCTGTCACCATTTCCGTGCACAGCTGCGCTCTGCGGCCGCCTCAGCAACATGGCAGACGAGGCAGACAACGCAGATAATGAAATTCACTCTCCTGCTGGATTTAGATCAACTCTGTGGAAATATTTTGAACTCCAGCAGAAGGACGGCTCAACAGACACAACTCGTGTCGTATGCAACAGGTGCCAGTACGAGTCAAAATACTCGGGGAAACAACAAATTTGTCTGTTCGCCTGAAGAAGAAACGCGGCATTGATAGCCATGTTATGTACGCTCAATATCTATTTTTGTTTACAAGTGAAAGGGTAATCAGGGCACTTTTAAGTTAACTGGCTTAAAAAATGCACTTAAACACGAGAAATGTGAGACTGTACTGAACAGGCCATTTTTATTTTTTCAATAATTAAAAAAAAGTTTTTATTTGAATGCCTGGTGCCTGTAATAACAGAAATAAAATGGTTAAATCATATTTGAATTGTTTTTGTGAATTTATTTATATGTAAATGAGATGAGCATTTGATATCGCAATTATCGATCGCAGACTTGTGAATCGATTAGGATCGAAATCGTATCGTGACAGACGTTGCGATAGAGAAAAATTGTATCGTCAAACACAGTAATTAATATAATATCGTATCGTGGTCCCTGTTTAACAAATTGTTAAATACAGCAAAAAGCAGGAAATCTCATCTACTTTATTGAAAACTTTCTAGGGGAGGACCCCCAGACGCCAACAACCCCCCTGTTGGCCCGCCTCCATTTCCATTCCGGCATCGACCGATTTACAAATTAAGCCCTGGTTGACCCCAAAAGTTAAATCGTAAAATATGTTGCTAACAGAAAAGTGGGTTGACAGCACAATGTGACATTGTAGCATCATGTTCGTAATTTTCTAAGACCAGTAGACCGTGGCGGACATCTTGATCTGCGCAGACTCCAAAAAGTCAACCAGTTATAGGTGTACACTTTGCAATGGTCAAAAACATGGAAGACATTTTCTACACTGATCATAAATATATCCCAGTTTACAAAAACAAAAGTACATTTTCTGTTGGATTAAAATGATCAAGCAGAGGCTGTCTGTACTGTCAGTACTTTCATTGTTAGTGGCCCAACTCCATATGAGAGGTACGGCAGACCATTATCACTTGGCATTTCCAACACCTCACTGGCTCTCTCACTCGGGCTCTTTGTGTTTCCACACTCTGAATAAGTCAGCAAGCTCAATAATTCACTCATTTTCTTCTTGTGTTGAAGCGGACTGGCAGGTTGTGACGGCAGCAATAGAGCTGCAACATCATGATGTTTAAAAAGTACTTTGCTACGAGTTACTCCGTTTACAATGCAGCATAGCTGTAATTTATTACACTTCAATACATTTCTAATTCATGACAGAATGTTGCACACGAATATTAGATTATTATTTGTCCCGACAAAAACGGGACACGTATTCCGACGTCCCAACTGCAGGGCTCATGGGTAAAACCCCCAAAATGAATAAAAGTAAAAAAAAATACTAATCAACATATAACCTAGCATTTTCACAGAAAAGTTAACGCAAATCTATTTTTTTTTTTAAACAAATACCTTTTTTAACGTAACTGATTACAGGTGCATCAATTTATAAATTAAATTAGTAACTAGCAGGGGTGGAAGTAATGAATTACAAATACTCACATTACTGTAATCAAGTAGACATTTTGGGGTACTTGTACTTTTATGAGTATTTCTTTCAAGTGTGTAATTTTACTCATACTTGAGTACAATTTAGTCCATGTAATCTACTTCACTACTTTTAAAATCAGAAGTTGCTACTGAGTACAGCCGCAATTTGAATTAATATTCAAACCGTTCATCTGCATCTTTGCAGCCAATAAAGTTCAGATCACGAAAACGCCAATTACTACGACGTAAGCAAAGGACAACTCCGTAGAGTAGAGAGTCGTTTAGAGTCGACTCTTCACAGCCAAACGAAGCCGGACAGACTCTCAACTAATACCAGCTCCTGCTGACGCCGAACAAAAGGCTCAGAAAGTGAAGGGAGACAGAAATGTCAGAGTTTGAGACTCTTACCTGCCTGTTGTTCGCAGTGTATTTGGAAAAGTTTAAACTGTTCTATGCCATTTCAAAAACATGTGTGTTGTTCTTTTAATAAACAAAGATCCTGCTTTATCTAAATTTGTTTACAAAAGAAATGGCCTTAGTGTACTTGACTGTTAGTCTGAGAAATGTGCTTTGAAAGTAGCTGTTCTATACAGTAAATCAAACTGAATACCTTCTAGTAATACTATGAGTAGTTTTTGAGAAAAGTATTTTTATAACATCCATACTTTTACTTGTAATTGAGTACAGTT